TGATAAACATTTACCCAGATGCAAATCATGTACCAACTCCTTTCACTTTCCAGGGTGACACTGAGATGACAACAGAAATAAAATATAATACTGTGCTCAATAGTAAAGAATTACTAGTATACACCTGCAACCTTCCAGTACACAGACGACGCTCCAACAGAGCCACACCAACCAGGGCTAACCATTCATTCTTATTTATTTGCACCCTATTTCTTTGTAGACTCAGGCTCATTTCTTCAAGCCTTTGAGCTATAGGCCACATCAATTTGCAAAGCAGTCTATAAGGCTGCTCTCCAAAACTGGCAAAGACAATACATTTTCAGGTTCCTGCTTTTATTTCTTTCTTTAAATCTTTATTGTTGAAAGTATTGCATATGTTCCCCTTTTTTCTCCCATTGACCCCTTATCTAGCCCCTATCCCCAAGCTCCAACCTCCAGACTCTTGCTTTTAATATCTAGAGCTACCACATCCCCCTTGTGGTCATGGAGAGAATTTGCCAGGCTCTTGAAGAAACCACCAGGAATATGGTCTTCGACACCCTTTAGCTAACACTGTTTGATTCCAGGATTCCATTGATGAATATTTTGTGGCTTTTAAATGTATGCAACAAGAAAAAAAGGAAACTCTTAAGAGAGCCATTTGAGAGAAGGAGCCATTTGAGATGAAAATGTAGGAACTCCAATTACTCCACTCACCCTCCTCCGTCATGTACAACATAAGGATTTTGCTTCAATGTTTATTAGTCTTTGTCATTCCTCTCTATGTTCTTTTGCATCAATATATATATATATATTTAGAATATTAATCTCTACAAACAGGGGTCATTAGCCTGCAACTTTGAAGTCTGTACAGCAAAGTCTAAAGTCTAAAATCTACCCTCTGAGGGTGAAAAGGGACCTGTGCTACTGTGGTATATTGTCAGACCCCAGGACGATGGCCCAGGACAGCCCAGGGGATAGCTGGGAGGCCTCTCTCAGCTGGGAATTGATCTGTTGCTCCATAGACGTGGAACCAGTCCACAGTCCCTCAATTTACCCTTTTGGGTGAAATTTGACTTAAGTCCCTCAAGCTTCTTTTACAACATAGCCTGACCCCACTATAAAGTGGACAATAGAGAGATCTGGCCAGTTAATGGCACCATTAAGTTTAATACTATCCTGCAGCTAGACCTCTTTTGCCATTCCCAAGGGAAGTGAATGGAGAATGAGGCCTTTTAAAATCAAACGTGTATTTTTCATACATGCAAGCTATTAGGACTCTAAGAAATGACCCTCAGCTATATGCTACCCGTAAACTAGATCTCAATGTAATTGCTACAGAGCTTGAAAGAAAAATATACTCAAATGGAAAGAAACATTTTAAAAATGGATGAATGAATTTGTCAGTCCCTTGTCAACATTTGCCAATCCTTGAGGTATTGAAAATGACTGTCCTGCCCTAACGGATTTGACTCAGTGGATAGAGCATTGGCCTGCAGACCAAAGGGTCCCAGGTTCAATTCCAGTCAAGGGCATGTACTTGGTTGCAGGATCCTCCCTGGTCCGGGCCCTGGACGGGGCTCGTGCAGGAAGCAACCAATCGATGCATTTCTCTCACATCGATGTTTCTTTCTGTCTTTCCTCTCTCTTTCACTCTCCCTAAAAATCAATGGAAAAAAATATCCTTGGATGAGGATTTAAAAAATAATAACATTTTTTTAAAAAAATGACCGTCCTTGTTTTATAAATAAAATCTTTACAGGGTCAGAGGTATGGCTCCAGAAACAATTCAAGCCACCAAATCCTTTTACTTTCCCATAAACCCCCTCAGTTCAGCTCAAAATACTTATAGATAATTGACTTTATGAAACCAAAGTCCCAGGACCTTTGAAATGCAAGTCACTGGTCTAAAACTCTTATCTAGGCCATCTTTTAAAATGCAAGTTTCTGGGAGGTAACCCTTATTGAAAGGAAAAATACCTTAGCCATGTGAGATCAAATTAACTCATTTCAGCTGTTAAACATTAATTGCTAGACAAGTCTTAAGTTTACCTACTTTGGGCCTCTTATTACAAGACCTAGAAAATTGATTTGGAAATCTTGGTATAATATCTTGTATTTTGAAGGTGTATTGGGCTTGAAACTGAGAGTGTTTAAAATGTTCATAAAAGTCAATTTAAGGAATGCTGGTTGCTTGCTTTTTGGTTATTATTGGAAATTGAGATTTCTACAAGTTAAAAGTTCACATTAATTGGAAAGAAATTGTATGGTTTTGGTAATGGAATATGGAAACATATTTTGAAGGAAAAAGTGAATTGTTCTAAAGCTAGTTGTTTCTGAATGGGTTAAAAGGTTTGTGAAGGTTGTAGACAGGTTTGTGAAAGTTATGGAAGGTTTGTAAGAGAAATGTTAAATGACAGTCTAGTAAGATCAAAAGTAAGCTAATACAGAGTTAGAATTTGGTTCTTTTCCACTTCATCAAAAGGACCAGGACCCAGCCAGCGTGGTTCAGTGGTTGAGCATCGACCTATGAACCAGGAAGTCACGGTTCAATTCCTGGTCAGGGCACACCGGGTTGGGTGCTTGGTCCCCAGTAGGAGGCGTGCAGGAGGCAGCTCATCCATGATTCTCATCATTGATGTTCCTATCTCTCTCCCTCTCCCTTCCTCTCTGAAATCAATAAAAATATATATGAAGTGACCGGTTTGGCTCAGTGGATAGAGCGTCGGCCTGCAGACTGCGGGGGTCCTGGGTTCGGTTCCGGTCGGGGGCATGTATCTTGGTTGCGGGCACATCCCCAGTGGGAGGTGTGTGGGAGGCAGCTGATCGATGTTTCTCTCTCATCGATGTTTCTGGCTCTCTATCTCTCTCCCTTCCTCTCTGTAAAAAAATCAATAAAATATACTTACAAATATATATATATATGAAAAAGAAAAAGGACCAGGATTTTCCTTTTTCTTTCCAGATACCAGAAGACTGTTTTATAAAGCAATTTGGTAAATTACATTTTTCTCCCTATCCGATCCCTCTATAATTTGGCAATTCTTTTTTTAAAATACATTTTAAAAAATATCTTTTTATTATTACAATTAGCTTCCTCACTCCCAAGCTCCAAGTTCCTTTACCTCCATCACTCATTTCTGAGCCCCTTTTTTCTAGTAATTACTTTTTCTTTTTAAATAGATTTTTATTGGTTTCAGAGAGGAAAGAGGAGGGAAAGGAAGATAGAAACATCAATGCTGAGAGAGAATCATGGATTGGCTGCCTTCTGCACACCCCCTACTGGGGATGGAGCCCGCAATCCGCACATGTTCCTTAGGTTTGATGCAGCAATTGAATTGATACCCTTCCCCCGGAACTGGCTTTTCAGTCATTTCACTATGGACATGCCCTTTGCTGAGACCACGTTCCATTATCTCCCCTCCGGGTCTGCATAAAGAAGTCTCCGCCCTCCGCCCAGAAGAAAGCCATCGTCACTGGGTGCTGGAGCCATCCAGGCTCTGCCGCCTGGTGTGCGGGTCATTTGTAATCCTGCACCACTCTGGCCTCCAGCTTCCTCTGGGGATCTAACAGTGCCCTTGACCAGAATTGAACCCAGGACCTGTTAGTCCCCAAGCCAATCCTCTATCCACTGAGACAAACCGGCTAGGGCTAGGAATTACTTTTTCTCCTCTGTAATTTGTCCAATAAATGTCCTCATAAATAAATAAATAAATACTAAGTAAATGAAAAAGAATCTCTATCACCTATAACCAATGTGGTTTTTTTTTGTTTTGTTTCTCACTTCCATTCCCCTCACAATGCACATTCCAGTTATGTTCTCCCCCAACTTCCCCCGACATTTCCTTTACAATTCCTCACAGTGACCACTTAACAGTGGAGTATCTTTCTCTTTTGAAATAGGACTTTAAAGCTTGAAGGATAAATTGCTTCCTTTGCAAAAGTAAGCTCAAGCTGTGATAGTGAATTCACATTTTGTTTCCACTGTCTACTTAATGTCTGTTACATCAGTACATATTTGTCGAATCAATGAATTAATTCTTTTTCTCAAAAATCTGAAACTGGTCACAGCGCGGTGGCCACTGCCATTTTGTTACAGAACCCAGTCTCTGTCCCTAGCAACCAGCGTAAGGTTTGAGAAGGCCCCGAGTACCCTCAGTGAGGGCCAGCCCAGGGTGTGTATGCGCATTCCCAGTAAATGCGGTACCGCCAGACCCGGGGGATTCCATTAAAGAAGCTGAAGAAATTAGCCAAAGAACATATACGCATAGCTCACAGACACAGACAACAGTGATGTGATGGCCAGAGGGAAGGAGGAGCAGAGGCTGGGTGGAGCTTGGGACATGTGTAATAGTGTCAACAATAAAAATAAAGGTTAAAAAATATATATATATACCAACAGGCAGCCAGAAAACGAGCAAAGGACGGGGACGAGCAACGAAGGTTCCGAACCTGAGGTTTACACAGAACAAACACCCAGGACAAGATGGCGCCCTCCGCTCGGAGCGGGAGCAGGGATAACGCACACGCGCGAGGAGCGTGCACACGCCCGGGCTCGCCTCCGGCGACGTTCGGTGGGACATCCAATGAGAGCTGTAGTTAGACCCCACCCCTGTTTTCCGCCACTCCCTGGGCACATGCGCTCCAGGTGCTCAGCCGGGCGCCAGCTGCGCAGGCGCAAGAGGCCCCTCCTCTCACGCAACTGACGCAAGGAGACTGTAATCGTTTCGCAGTTTATCCCGTGTGACCTTGAGTCTTAGCTGCCGCCGAGGACCAGGGCTGTCTAAGGTTGTTGCCTTTATATTTCTCTTAACTCCCTCGCCTCTCATTGAGCCCGTACCTGCCACGGCCAGAACTGAAGGACGCACTTTTTCAACCATCATGCTGCGGAGCGTATTGGCCGTACGCGCTTCCTCCGGCAGGGGCGGTCAGGTAGTCTCTGGTCAGGCAGTGCAGGC